GCTGAACCCTCAGCCCCACAGTCTTCTGGTGGGTGAAGAGAAATCCCAGCATGCTGTCTGGCTCACCCACCATCACGTTTGTTGGATCTCCCACTGGTCTGATACTTGCCTTGGGTTTGTCTCAGGATAGAGGAAGCTACAAGCCAAACACAGCTGCTACCACAGCTTTTCTGTGCAAAGAAACAGGGCAAAGAAATCTGTGAGCTAGGGTTGGGAGATGAAGGTGATAAAAAACAGAAGGGCTGTTGTGAAGAGAGCTTGTATAAGTTTTCCAGCTCTCTCCATGCATCTGTATTACATCTCCCAAAAAATTTTGCATCTCCTAAGGTGGTGGCCTTTTCTTTTCCTAGTGCCTTCTGTGCTGGTTTCCAGTGACATGTCTGATATGGTCACATTTTAATTAGGTTTCTTTTGTCCCTTTGACTCTCTGATGCAATCCCACTGCCTGTATCACCATTTTTTACTATGGAAATGTCTTGGCAGATCAGGCACAACCACCGAGGCAGGCTCCTTCCAGGAGCAAATCCATCTTTTCAGAGAAAGGTTCGGTGCCACCACCAGTGGCCAATGGGTCTGCAGTGCAATGGGAAGAGCTGCTCTCCACAGGCACCATGGAAAGCTGTAACCTCTCCTGTCTGTGCCCACGCTGCTCTGTGACATGACCTGCTGCATGGGCCATGGTGCTCTGCTCCACATGATCTCAGTTAGTCCCCAACTTCTGCCTCCTCAGAAAGCTGTCAAAGCAGCGCTCTGCCAGGGAGCACTCAGCTGCTGCAATCCCAGGACTGTCACGGGGGGCAAAGGAAGGGATATAGTTGTCATTTTCTGGAAGCAGTACAGCAGCTCAGCTGTGTAATACACGGATTTAAAATATGGATACCAGCCCCTGTAAGAAACCTGCATTAATCTTCTGTAAGTAATCCCAGGTAACAACCTCTTCCCCTGTGCTGAATTGCTGGCCTTTCTGCTTCAGGGATTGTGTGGCTCTCTAACAGAGCTGGGTTTGTCTGATGAGATGCAGTTCAAGGTATGGGGCCATCCCTCTCACAGAAAAGCCTTGAAAGAAGGTGACAAGGATGCAGTGTTCTCCTAGAGGTGAAAAGCACTTTAAAATAAAGACTCTCCCATGCCCTCTCTATGTCGAGACCCTAGGCTCAACATAGCCCAGCTTGCTCTGTGGCACTGCCCATCTATGCAGATATTCCTGTTGGACCTGCAGCCTGTGCTTGCTGACCCAAGCAGCAGCCAGATAAAAAAGCTGACTTCATTGTAGGTATGAGTAGGCACACTCCATGTGAGCTTGAAGGGAGAATGGAAAAGTAGAGGAGTTCAGCCAAAACTTCCAGTTCATACCCTCAGATGATTATACGGATGCTCAAGAGCATGAAACTTCAGTGGGAATACCCAAAATGAGCCCCTCAGTGCTCTCCTCCCATTAGCACTTGCTATCCCAGTTGCACTCCTAAGTTTCTTCATTCTGCTGGCAGAGGATGGTGCTGTTGGGCAACCAAACCTCCTGATGCAGATCAAGAAGAGAGTTGTGCAAGATCTACCTGCCAAATAACTGGAAAAAACATATCCTTGCCTAATATCTTCCCCAAAAGCTGTTTAATCTTTCTACTAACCTCCACCCTGCAGCCTTCTGGCACATACAAGCAACATCAAGAGTCTAGTAAACAGAGGGAAAGAAGAGCAGTACTTTTAAAATATCCATGGAATTTCTATAGCACACTTTTGGCATCTTCCTTGAAGAGCTATGCTGTCAATGGTGGCCACCACACACTTGGCAACACCCATGCAGGGTGGTGGTACTATCTTGGGAAGGCAGGTTTCTCCCCTGTGCTGCAGAAGGGAATGGACATCAAGAGGGGATGTGACCTGCCTGATGCTAGAGCAAATACATACCACATGCCAACAGCAGCAAGGGACCCTAGATCTCATTTCTGTGCTCTAACAGTCCAGCAGACTCTCTGTAGTAGTATTTGGCCGTGGTGCCAACTCAGGGACATGATGTGTCTGGTGTGTGCATCTGAAAGTGAGCTTTGCTCCCTGCTGGTATCAGCACTGCACTGAGATAGATTAACTTGGACAACTGGGATCTGCCCCAGGCCAAGACACCACTTGGCAACCTTTCTAGTTACTGGTTGTTTTCCTTTTCCTGTTGTTCCATCTGGTGCCCAGCTGGGTCCTTCCATTCTTCAAAAGCTTCATGTTCTGTTGAGTCACATACAGGGCACTGTACTTTTCAAGCCTCCTGCATGCTGCTGTACAGCTCACAGGCAGCCCAAGGACAGACTCTGCACGGGGAGGAAAAGATTCTGCTTAGGACTGCAGACCAATGTGTGTGTAGCCAGAAGGTGCCTGAGCACATCAGGTGCTTCCTTTTAGGAAAGGAGCTGGAGAGACAAACCAGAAGCAGCTGAGTCCATGCTGTCTGTGGGGGAGCATCCTGAAGTCTCTTTCCACCTCCATGCAGCAAGGCTGGTTGCCTACTTCTGCTATTGCAAGGCATCTGCAGGCGAGACAGACAGAGCAGCACAGCAGATCCAATGGCCAAGTGTACATGTTGGGGGTAGACATGCAGCAACATCAGATATGATCCAGTGGCTCTTCCAAGGGCTTCAAGATACATCCATAAGACATCAAATGAACCTTTGGGATGATCACCTGGACATCAGCCTCCTTTCAGCCAACCAGAAAACAGAATAGACCATGCTATCTAAAGACCTTCCTCAACATGAAGATGCTCCTCCTCACAGAGATATCTGGAAATAGGAAGTCTGCAGACTGCAGAGACAGAGTTGAGTGCTGAGACCTTGGAGTTCAAAGCCAGCTCGTATTCAAGGGTAAAATTAACATCTGATAAAAGGAAAGAACTTGCTTAAACTCAGGTAATTTGGTGACTGAAATTACATAAAATCTTAACAAAAGCCAGTCTGGCTTTGGGAGGCATCAAACGCAAATTCCTTTGTGGCGGCACCAGCATCAATATCCTTAAATCCTATCTGCATGGTGATTGAGATGGACAGCAATGCAGCCTTCCACACTCCACAGTGCTCCTCACCTTGGTATTCCGTACAACTCTGGACTGAAAATGGGGCCTGAGAAGACCTTCTGGTTTGCTGCCAAGACTGGCATAAAGAACGATTTACTTTCTTGGATGCAGTCTGCATTCATGAGGGTGCCTGGCAGCTCTGCACATTTCATAGCTTTGTAATGCTGTGACAGGACGTCAGGGTCTGTGCTCTTCGCTCTTGCCTTCTCCAGGCCCTGTCGGCACAGACTCGTCTAAGGAGAACAGTGCCAGAATGGCCATGTTATGTATGCCTTCCTGGGAAGTCACCACAGTGTAACCTCCAATGAGGGCACAAGGAAAGCCTTCTGGCTGAACACAAGACCAGAGAGGAGAGCCAGCCCAATCCGTGGTTAATACACAGTGACCAGTCGTCCACTGTATTCTGTAATGGCCCAACAAACGTGCCACGTGGTCATAGCTTAAGGGGCTGCAGTTCAGAGGGGTTAGTGTTCAGTTTTCTATGACGGCCACATGTGCATTGCCTTAATCCTTTCAGCCTTCTTGATAATGTCTCTACACAGGTAACTACTCTTCCCCACCCTTTCTACTTTATCCCCCTAGTAAAATATATGAACACAAAGCATAGAGAGGAGAAGCCAAAAAATTGCCATTTTATGGTCCTGTACTGTCATGCCAAACCAGCTATTTGTGCAACCAGCTCTTTCTGTGTGCAGTGAAAAACACTTGCCTTGTGCTTCCATCTGTATTTGAGGAAGCACTAGGTGCAACACTTAAAATTCATCTCCCTCCCTCCTTAAAGGCTTGTGCTAGAAGCAGATGCGCATCACACAATGCAAAGGGTTGAGGGCAGTTGCAGGGTTGCAGAGTTGAGGAATGCCTCAGGGCAGGCAAAAACCAGCAACTGAGGCAATAAAAATACTTGGTTGTAGTGCTGCGGGGCAGAGGCTATCAGGGATGGTCTGTCCTATAGAGGGGAGGCATTAACCCTGGGAGACAGTGTCAGCAAGACTCACTCTGGCTTAGACTGAACATGATGGCAGCATGACAGAGACCTGTGGTCCTCCATGGCAGACTCACGTAAACAGATGGCTCGTTGCTCTAGCAGGCACACAGAAATGCTCTGAGCTCCTAAGCAAGGGCTGAGCATGTGTAGCCCAGCTGGAAGGCACAGAGACTGACCCAGGAGGACACATACAATGAAGATGTTGCATGGTATCAATGCCCAACTGCAAAGTCTCTCTTTAGAAGAGTGAAGATTGAGACTTGGTCATGTCCTATAGGATTTGGTTTGACCACAGTGTTTCTGTTGGGTTTTGACTGCATTCCCCATTAAAAAAAGACTCCTTAAGGACTACTTTTTTCCTCTTTTATCTTTCCTCTCTACACAGCCTTATTAGAGCTCTTTCTCTAGCTCCAGAAATCTTGCTAACCTCAATCTGAACTCATAGTGGAGAGGAAAGGAGGCACATGAAGGAAGAAGTGAAGAACTGGAGACCTGACGTTTTGTGCTTCTTTAGAAACATTTTGGAAATATCCCCCATCAGCATTATCAGGTAGTGAGAAAGGCAGAGGAATTCACTTGAGGAATACTATTCCTAGAGAGGCTGACAAGTTAACCAGCACTTCTGCACGAGGAGGCAATGATGCTCAGTAAACAGCACCACTCGGTCCCCTTTCTATGGCCTGGAGCCAGGGTGGCAGCACACCGTTTTAGGGAAGGGGGGCCAAAATTTAACTAGCTAGCTTTAACTAGCCCATACCAGCCAGTGAATAATAAAGCCCAGGAATCCTTTGTGCCTGCTCTTTTGCTCACACTGCAGTTGGTATCGTGGTTTGCACCACACAGAGTGAAACCACAGGGTGCTAAATAAATCTCCTAATCACAAAAAGAATGGACTTCCTAAAGACTCAGCTAATGCAGATTTCAGATGGGAGAATCTGCCTGTCAGAGTATAGCCCAGGCTAACCTTGTGAATCAGGGAATCTGATGGGAAACTCAGAACTGCCCTTGCTTTTCCCCTTCCCCAGGCTGTGAAGCTAGGGATGACACAAGGCAAGCAGTCCTTCTTCCTGGCAGGGCAGAAAAACACACAGTCGTGCCTGTGGCAAAAGACTATAGCACTGAGAAAAATGTCAGCCCATCCCTCACCTGAGCCCCGCATATGCTGAAGCCAGCAGTGTAAAACCAGTCAGGGAGAAGACACGTTTCCTAATTCTAGAAATGATTTTGCATTGAAAACAATCTGCAGGTAAACTGGGAATTCAGTCCAGCAACCTAATGTAATGCCAGGTTTCATGACTGTTCCAGCACAAAATAAACACAACTGCTCCTGACATGGGATAACTCTAACACAGACCAAAACTGATTCACACATGGGCAGAGATGGGATAATCAATCAGTACTTTCCTCTTGCGTGTTTTTTTCAGCTGAAGCTGTTCATAATCCTGCTGTTGCTGGAAACTCCCCTAAAAGTCTGACACTATCACACAGATACATTCAGTGTTAACAGATCTCTCCCACAGGCACCAAGAGATGCAGTGTAAAGAGAATATCAGCAGTTGAGCACTGTAGAAAAGTTCTTCAACTAGTTTTTGCAGAACTGATCTTCAGACTGTAAAGCTCTAGTCTTGTCTTGTGCAGGACTTATTTTTTCTTAATTGAACAAAATTTAAGAGTTTTGGAAGCAGATGAGGTACTCCTGGGAATTAAGGAAAGCTTGAAGTCAGTATACACAAGCAGACTGGAGTCAGGAGTATGGTATCCCTGGGCAAGGACTGAATCCCTGGAGATCATGGATGGATTGCAGATCGAATCTGATGTGTTTGGTGATAACCCAACGTGCAGCTAAGGGTTGGTTGCATTGGATATGTGACATGACAGCTCTAGCTAGTACTGACTCACAGTGAAATGCCACGTATTTGTCGTCTTCACAAGTGAATAAATTGTGTCATGCTACTCCTGGCTAGCCTTGCCATATGAAGGGATGCCCTGCTCCATTCCCATTCCTGTGCCCCAGTTACAGTATCATTTTGGATATGCAAATGAAACAGGTTTAGTGAATGAATTAAGAACTGACCTCCTCTCATTGGTAAATCCCCCTGGCACCTCACATTTACCCCTGATATTGCAGAAACATTGGTTTTTGGTGGGCAGATAACCTGCAGCTCCATCTGACCCTTCCCATTCTGGAACAGACACCTTACAAAATATCCCCAGTGCCTACACAAACCAAGGAGGTATCTGGACCCTATGCATTCGCTCTCCAGACCAGTCAGTTCTGCCAGGCACTGCCTGGCACTTTGAGAAACTTCTCTTTTGTTTAACCATAGTTTAAAATAACTTATCAACCAATCATAAAATGAATTTTTTGGTTTCTCCTGGCTCCATGAACACAAAGAGGTGCACGTCCTACCATAGGAGGAAGCAATGGCTGTTAAGTTTTACAGTTATAGTGGAAAGCACTGATCACAGCCTGCCGGCCTCACTACTGGATGTGACAGGCGGTGGAGGAGGTGGCTTGGCAACACATGCAGGTAGGGTTGACCGATTTAGGGGGGATTAGGTCGAGGTCCTCATCATCTGGGATCTCATCTAACCGGTACCCATCCTTTAGCAGCTGGATGTTCAAGTCTTGGTTGATCTGCTACAGAAAGAGAGAAACAATCAAACACTTGAGACTTCTCACTTCCGTTGGTCAGAAGAAGAAGGTCCCTTATTCTGGAGTACACTTCCCCATCATTAACAGTTGCCCCACTAATGAAAGAGTCCCAGTTTTTGACCACAGGTGAGGGTTGCTTTCTGTTCTAGCTTCTTCCAGAACAGGATTATCTTAAGCGAGATATTGCATAATAGCAAACTGATACATGGTTGACTTAAAGGTCTCTTCCAACCAAAATGATTCTATAATACGCTATTTTCTTCTGCAATAATCTTGCCATGAAAATAAGCTTTCATTTCAAGTAATGTAACAATAATGTTAATAAACCAACTGGCAGCTTGGCAGTCCCTTCTCTGAGTCTGGGGCACACTATAGCTGTTGAAAGGTGGTAAAGCCTCTTGGCTTTTTGTCATTTCATGTTCAAGCAATGTCTAACCAAATACAGGCCAGCAACACTTCATGAGGGCCCAGTGACGGCCCAGCTCATTTGGTCTGTTTCTCTGGTCTGTTTGGTCTCATTTGGCTGTTTCTCTGTGTTTCAGACATATTTTGCCCTAGGATGGGATACAAGGGGGAAGAGTTCTCAGCAGCTTGTGTGCAGAATAGCTGCTCAGGACCCTGGATGTAACATCAGATCCCAGAGAAGCAGTATCTGGAGGCCAAGCTAAATCAGGACAGAGCTTGGGAATATATTCAGAAACAATTCAGGGGGATTAAGGAGCTTCAGCTTCCTGCCTTTTCTCTTTGAAAGGGCAAGAGTTCATATCTGCAAGCCCTCTCTGGAATTTCTCTGTGCTCCAACAAGCACAGGGCGACTCTGACCATCCCAAGAACTGGAAGTCACAGGACACCCTCAGATCCTTTGTGTCCTTGGCAAGCATTCAGTTGCCGAGTGGGCATAACAGACAAGTTGATGCTTTTGCACCACAGGGGCAAACACTGCAGGACTAAGCAGCAACTAACGGGGAAAAGCTTATGTGAAGCCAAAGGTAGCTGTGAAAACAGCTGGTGGGCAGATCTCTGTGCCACAGCAGTGTGTGGATGGAGCCAAGGGCACCATCAGGGAAGAAGGAAACATGACACAGTTTCTGCCATGGCCCCTTCTAGACTCACAGAGTCTACGCCACTGGTAAATTTGTTGTGTAGCCATTATATTATCTAGCTGCTCTACTATTAGCATTCATGGCAAGGATGGCAGGAGAGAGTATAACTCACCTCAGCTGACGAGTATCCCGAGGACGAATATCTGGACATGTCAAAGTCATCATCACTGCAGGGAAGGACAGGATAGAGCAAAGAAGGCAATAGTTAGAGAGACCTATATTCCCTGGTTAGCTCTAGCTTCTTGTGCCATGAAGCTGTCCTTGAGGCACAGAGAAGTCACATAAAGGGAGCCTGGAGAGCAACTTTCACGCATGACCCCCAGATCTTGCCATGACAGTGCTCTTTGCACACATCTCCTCCTCCCTGTTTACATGCATAGACCAGTTCTGGCATATGCCAAAGGGCAGAGCAAGGGAGAGTGCAAGCAGCCTGCAAGAGCAGTGCAGGAGTTAGCTTCAGTGCTGCACTCTCACATGAAAACTTGCTTGCACCACAATGTTTATCACCTTATTAACACCTTGCATACCTGTCCGTATCCAGGGCCACCAGTGGCTTCTCATCTGGACTCTGGTCTAACGACGAATAGCCCTTATTGGGAACCACGAGCCTGAAATAGTTAAATGTTGCCTGTTAACCATGCACTAAAGCTCAGTACCACACATAGTCTAGGGCAAAGCTATATGCTAGTTGGGCTTTCTCCATTTCACTTCCACGCAAGCTGTTCCTTATTGGTGAAGTCATTCAAATGGATGCAATTCAGAGAAAGTGAGCTGTATCTCTGGGTAGCTTATAACAGCTTCACAGGAATGAGTGCCAGATGTGCCTGGGGAAAAGGCTCCTCGCTGGAAGAGAAAAAAGTTATGACACTGTGCTTCATTCTGGTGAAGTTGTTCAACTAGCACTGCTGGTTGTGTCAGAGTGCTCATTTTTGTGTTGCTTTTTTTTTCCTGTCAATGAACACATGACACTCACAATAAGTAAATAGGAGAAGGCGGCTAGGGAAAGGCAGAGGCTCAGTGCTCCTACTATTCAACTGCTGGAAATCAGTTATGTGCTTTTTCTGCCTGAGTCTCTACCCACCCCATCCCACCCACAACACTTACCATGTCTCACTCCTAAATTTAGTAGTATGAAAAATATGAGCTGGTGAGTGCAGAGTAACAGTCCAGTCAGACTAGTGCTTTTTAAATCCCACTACTTAAAATGTCTTTCACTTCATCAGAAATGCTATAAAGGCTGACGATGGTTTTGCACCTTTAATTGCCTGAAAGAGTTTGTGAAATGGAATACAGGCTTCAGAGCTTCTTGGATAAGGAAAGCACATTAAAACAATGATATCTAGTTCAAAACAGAGTTCTTTGATCCAGAAAACTGCAGAAAGACTTTGGTTCATATTTAAAATAAGATCAACCAAACCAAGCAAACAGAGTAAGAGTCTATGTTCAGTAGGTGGGAACTGTGATAGTGATGAAAATCTCCTTGTTCGGTGGGTTAATTCATGTTTCCTCCCAAATGAAGTACTGGTCTTTAATAACATGCAATGAAGAAAAATGGTGCTTCACTAAGAGTTTGGGGAATAATAAATCTAAAGTTGATAATCCATCTCATCCATGCTCCAAATGCTCTCTAACTACCTGAAATTATTTTCTGATTCTGCTCAGAAGATTTCAAGAAGCCACTACAATATTAGCAACACAAAGGCTTGTTGGGTACTGAAGGAGGGTAGGCTCAAGGAAAGAAAAATGTATCCAATGTTATGACAAGGTGGATACATATATAGGTTCATAACTAGTTGTATTTTCTTACTATTTTCATTGAAACTCAAGATTAAATAAATTAATTTTAAAACTGATGCAGAATTTCCAATCTGCTGCACTAGGGGACTGGAGAAAATGGGATCCACTTGTAAAATACAATACCCCTTCTCATAGCATTGGGATGGTCCTTGGGCTCCTGAAGCATATAGCAAGGAATTCAAGCTGTGATCTGGCAGCAGCAGCTTGCCCATACAGATATCAGAAGTACTGACTTCCATTCGTGCTCTCCAGTTTTTCAAGTCCCTGCTCTATATATACTCACTGACAGTTGTTACTATACTGTGAGTGAACAAAGCACTATCAGGAGATCTAGGAGAAGAACCCTTTGTGCTGCTTTACTTGATTTAAAAGAAAAAGAAAGTAAATCACCACATCTGTTTTCTTGAGAAATACCTTTTTTTCTTAATAACAGAGAACGTCAATTTTTCTGCAACAGACAGAAACTGTGATAATGTCTCTGTTCCTGATCTAAGTCTTTCCCTTGCATCCTGATTGTCCTTATTTTCACTTCTCCCTGTCCTTGGAAGAAAACTGGGTAGCAGTCATAGCTGCTTTCATCCATAGCTGCCCCAAGTATGAGTTTCTTGTCTTGGTGTTTTTCCCCACTTAACATTAAATAAGTTACAACACAAGTCCCAGTTCAGGCTGCCCCCTGACCTGCAGGACCTGTCTGTGCCCAAGTGGTGCAGATGGTGTTGTGGGCTCTGCCTGTGCTCGTAGCAAGTAGGCAAACATCGCCCCAACTTTGTTCACACTTTATTTGCTCTTAGGGAGACTGAGCACTTTATGGACCCAGATCCTTTCACCTCTAAGGCTGGCTGTGCCCCTGCCCCAGGAGAAGACCAAAAGGAAGGCAACTTGGTACTAGAAGCTGGGTAACAGAAATTCCTACACACAATACAGAACAGAAGCTTTGGGGAAGGAGGCGGAGATGTACTAGAGGCTAGGAAAAGCAATGCGGTTTGCCTGAATGAAGGAAGCCATATTTGATAAGAACAGCAGAACTGTTAAAAAGGGGAAAATGTCCTTAGCTTATTCTCCTCCTGCAGAGATCAGAGGCAGCTAACAGTTCAGACTGAAGATACCACCTGTGTGTTTCGCAGCGTAACCCACTGCACCCCAGTGAATGAGCTTCTGGCATTTTCGCCTTCCTGGGGCTGGCCTGTCTGTGGCAAGACAGACTGAATCACTCTGATGTGTTACTAGGGCTGTGCCCATGGTGCAGCTTGAAAGCCAAAGGAGATGGGGGACGAAGGGACTTGGGCCACTGAGAGCCTATGCCAGACACCTCTCAGCCACATGGGAACTGTGGAGCTTGGCTACATCTGTGACTAAAGCAATGGCTGCAAACCTCTGTTTTGCAGACCCCAAGGGATGCTTCTAAATGCTGTGTGAAAAGTAACTAAGGAAAGTGAGTCTACTGCCAGCAGGTGATAGTTGGCTGTGCAGGGGTCCACATATCATAGAATCATAGAATGCTTCGAGTTGGAAGGGACCTCAGAAGGTCATCGAGTCCAACCTCCTGCAGTAAGCAGGGACATCCCCCCTCTGAACAGTGCTCAGATGTCCACAAATAGAATAAAACTGAGATGGCTGTTCAAAAGCTTTTGTCAAGAAGTGTCACTGCTCTGCTCTTCCCCATTCAAATAATTCTCCTTTCCATGAGCACCTTGCAAAAAACTTGTCCAAGCAGAAGTCACTAATTTTACAGCTAAGCAACTGTACTTAGCCCATCTTCTCTCCCTTAACATATTCTTCTGCTAATTTCAATATTTCTAAATCCCTCAGTAGCAAATCTGCTACCACTCCTCTCAGGAAGTTACCATACAGGCTACTGCCAAAAGAAACCAAGTCTTTCCAGCTTGTATTTGGAAGACATGGAGGAACAGTGGGTGTAAAAAAAACCCAGCTGAGAGCACTTGCTGAATTTCTTGCTGCCACGAAGGGCTTGGCTCCTTTATATTGACTCAACAACCAAACACAGAGCAGGGAGCAATGCAGCGTATTCCAAGAACACTGTGAGGGCTTACAAATAAAACCTGACAGAGTCCTGGCATGATTTATGACTACTATTTTAGGGTTTGGGAATTAATGTGAACACAGACCCTCATCTGTTAGATATGTTGCATACAAAGAGGCTCTGACCTGCAGCTTCTGTTCTGCTGAACATATGGTAATCCATGGAACTTTCCCATTCATGACTAAAAACCCAGCATTCATGCTGATTCTTCTGTTATTTTTAAATGAGGTCCTCAGCTAAAATCTGTCACCTTGCCAGTAGCATGTAAAGGGTGCAATCCCGTGGGCTCAGGAGGATTCCTGCCTCCTGAAGGTAAGTAGGTAATACAGTGTTGTACTGAAGCATGTACTGAAGCATGCATGGAAAAAATAGAAATACTCCAAAAGAAAGTATTCAGCTAGGAATGCTTTGTTTACGTCGGTTTGTAGCACTGTAATACTGCCTTACAGAGATGTGCCAAAGCAGCCCCAGTGAAGTACGTTCAAAGCGTGTAGGAGGTGTGTAGAAAAGCACAGAGAGATGGATTATTTACATGCCTTCATTAAGTAAATCAGTATGGAGAAGTGGATACCATTTTAGCAGGGCGTGTCACAGGACAAGGGGTAATAGTTTTAAACTAAAAGAGGGTAGATTTAGACTAGATATAAGGAAGCCATTTTTCACCATGAGGGTGGTGAAACACTGGAACAGGTTGCCCAGAGAGGTGGTAGATGACCTTTAAAGGTCCCTTCCAAGCCAAAACATTCTATGATCATCACAATGGAGATGGGGAAATACTGTGGAAAAAAGCAGCCGAGGCAGAATTAAGCTCTAAACCAGTTTGTGTTACATGAAGCAGCATCATACCTCTCCTGCTGGCAGCAGTATGTGCCACATGAGGCTACCCAGAACAGGCAAGACAGCTGTATCAAAACCCCTGACTTTGACCAGGCTCGGCTGCCTGCCTCCTGCAGGCTGCACTGCCACTGCTGCTGGGCTCAGCTGTCCCTGCACCTCCCCAGGGGATGGGATGCAACACAGCACACAGCATTTGGGCCTGCCAGCTGCAGGAAGGGCCATGGCTGCTCCTGCAAGGTGTTTGGCAGCAGGTGAATGACAAAGAACATCTTCCCTGCCCACGCCATGGCCACTAGGGACTGCAGCTTAGAGCATAGCTGAGTGCTTTTCCAGTGCTTTACCTTGTTCGTGCCATCACATTGTTCTTCTTGGGCTGCTGATTAACTGGGCTTCCCATGTTGCCATTCTTCAGGGAGCCTTTTCGAGCCAGCTCCCTCTGCTTCTCTGCATGTGGGATACAAAGAGGAAAAGCAAAATTAGAACAAGGGCCTGGCTGGCCATCACACAGCTGCAGAAACCCAGATTTCATAGTGGCAAAAGGCACAGCAGAATTAACAGCAAAGGAAATGAGCTCTCCATCTCCCAAGGAAGGACACTGCAAAGGCCAGACGAGATGTGTCCCATCGACTCCAAGGCCACCAGGGGCTAAAACTAATGCCCCTTGACTCACAACAGCTACACAGATAGTCACGGAGCTTCTGGGTGAGACCCATCTGAGGCAGAGAAAAGGCACAGACATTGTCTTTACACCCAGCTCTAAGACTGCGTTTTATGCTAGGCAAAGGAATTTACCTTTCTACCTTTTCTCCTCCTATTGAGGCTGCTGCCAAGGGGCTCAGCAGGGATAGAAAAGTGTCTCATCAAGGCAGCACCACCATTTTACTGTCAGTCCAACCTAGCCTGACACCAGGCCTGAGTTATTGCTGTTTCCATAGACGCAACTCCACAGACTAACACACCCTACAGCAGAAAGTGTTGCTGCTTTCCCTGCTTCTCCTCCTGGCAACCTCAGATGTCCCCTGTGTGTCCTTCTCTTCTACCTCACATTGATTCTTGGGACCTTGATTTCTTTATTTAAAAAAAAAAAAAAAGAAAGAAAGATCTTCCAGCTTTATTTTCAAACTGCACATTGTTTTGCTTAAATTTTCAGAGCATGTTCTGCTCACCGCTGAAATGTACCTTACAATGTGGTTATGCAAGAGGGGATTTAAATCAGCTTTTTCATTAGGAGACACTATTCCTCTTAACTTCTCACCACAGGATTACAACTAGAATTCAGGTCCTAAAGCTAAATTTTCTGCAGGTATGCATTGTCTGTGCCTCCAGCAGGGATAGGAATTTTCATAGGATGATGGGTTTTCATATAAACCTATAGTCAATTTTCTGATTCATAGTCTTTGTTTCTTGGGGGAAATCAGTCGCGTTGACTCAGCCATTAGCTGCAAAAGTTGTGCTAACTGCCCCAATGTCATCCGGCAACGCCAAGTAAGGCTTGTAGGGGAAAGCAGAGTGTAGGGCCAGTAAGGTAGGAAAGAAACCACTTCAGAATGTTCTCCAGAGTGAGAAAATGTTGGGAACTGTTTTTGTGGCATGCCTGAATAATAGGGGTTTACCAGACTGCTTGCTGGGGAACATGAATAGTGAATTCATTTTGTTTCTGTTTCCCCTGCAGTGTGTGAAATGTGCTACTGATTTTTTTTCTCTTGGAGATTTTATTCCCCTTGGAGAGAAAAACACCTTTTCCCTCTTGTTGTGGAAAAGTGGCATTCCTACCAGGGTATGCAAGTGCAAGGTAGGCCAAATCTGTCCCTTCCACACAGGTAAGGGCAGGGGGACACATGTCCAAAGCTGCCTTATTTTGAGGGACAAATAAGCAGCAGAAGTGCCTAGAGATCGTGATGATGAGCACGGCTGAGGAACCTGCAGAAAGGAGTACACCTTCCTACAAACCATACCCAGCCCTGCTTCTGCTGACAGCAGAGGTGAATAAATGCTCATTGAACTTGGCAGGAAAAGGATTGCATCAGTAACTCTCTCTGGCAAGAGCAACAAAAAGACTGATACAGGACTGAAGTAAAAGCCTTAAATCAGAGTAGTTTCTCAGTACTAGAAGTTGCAAACGTGTTGGTTATCTCTGTCTCCAGAACAAAAGGCTGGTATTTTGCACTGTGAATTTTGCTATTCAGACACAGAGGGATAAAGCAGGGTTTTATGGAGGCAAATTTTTATAACCCTAAATACAACTCAGCCTTCACACATCTACACCAGAGCTCCAGCACCGACCACAAATACACAGAACTAAGACAAGCTGCCAGTGCTCTAGGAGGCTGTGTAATTCATGAGAGGCACCCGACTCAGAAACAAGGCTACAGGTTTCATTTCCTGTCAAGGCAGTCAGGGCCTGACTGAGCCTTTTAAATGGACCAGGCTCCCTGCTCTCTATCGATTGCCCAATACAGGTGCTGATGTGCTTCTCCAACTCAAGATTACTCAAGCAGCTGATGGATCTGTTTTTTGGCTGTCTTTTTCCTCCAGCAAGTCTCCCCATGACTACTTCTAAGCTGAGTCCTATTCCAATGTGTGGATCTGAATAATATTTCCTATGTAACCCCTTCTTTCACTTATTTAGTTGCTTGGAATGAATAATCCCAACACAATGTAAGTGCACTGGGAACATCCATGTCTGCGTACCCTGCCAGATTTCTTCAGCATGAATCAACAGTTCATTTCCCTCTTGGGTGCTATGAATCCTGAGTCCCTCGAGGCCAAAATGTGATAGCTTCCAGGGGAAAATGGCAGGCCCATCCAGCCCTGGTATGTTAGTACAAGCTTCTGGGAGGTGGTGGAGATGTGCATGAGTCATGTCAGGCTTTGAGGCAAGGAAACGTAGTATTTGAGCCTTACAAGTATGAGCTACTGCTGCTTCCACAATCACTCAAGGGAACTTTTTGGTACCAATCTCTTGCAGCAGTTCTAGGCTATGTATTCCATCCACTCCCACCAACTATCAGGCCCATCAGAATAAGGGAAGGACGTTTTCAGTGCTCATTTTGTCTGTGGTGCTTCCTCTTGGTGTAGCAGGTGGGGTTTGTGAACCCCATTTCTAGGTAGTGAGCTCTTTCTTTGGCTTCCAGCTTACCTGTTTTTTGCCCCTGAATGTTTGTTTGAAGGACAGGTTCCCAAACTTAGAGTACCTGTGTTCTTTTTATTAATGTGCCTGACTTAGGCACTTCTGAAAGTGTTGTTTTCAGGATCCAAAATTTTAACAAAGGTCTGTAATTACACAAATTAAAGTAGTTCTCACAGAATCTGCAATCAGACACATCACTGGCACAGTAAAGACAGGATGAGAGAAGGGACCACAACCCAGCCCTGAAAAATAAATGGCATTTTTCTTTAAAGCCTGGCCCATATTGGCTGCTGCTACACCCACATGAGCATGCATTCTAAGATCACAACCCTCCACTGAACCAACTGTGAAAAGCTTTGTGTGAAATATGTCAACTAGATACCTGTGTGACTCTCAGGGAATAAAAAGCTAAGATGTTTTTTCCTTCTGAGTCATCCCAGACTCTCCAATATGGTAGTTAAGTATTCCTCACTGGACTTAGATGAGACTTGTGTTCCCACATGTCTCCCAGCCTCAAGGCTGCTGCTTAGGAGGCATGGTTCCACCAGAGTGGAGAGGCATAGCTTGCCCTCAGCACTTGGTGGTTTCTGGTGCTGGCTGTGAAAGGGTTTCCATATCTGTGACTGGCTGTGCTGCCTGCAGTGTTCCACTACGTGCAACAAACTTTCAGGAAGGCAATGCAGCTTGATCGAAAATAGATGATGACCCTACAAAACTGCCTAATTTTGGGCAACCCCATGGCACCAAAAGAATGAGAAAAGGTTAACAGGCATTCATGCTAAATACACAGAAAATGGGACATACTAGAACAAATAAAAACCCAAAAGATTCTGATTTCCGGCTACGGATTATTTCGTGCCTGGTGATGACGCTGCTGTTGGATGATCAATGGAAAGCTAATACAGTAGAGAAGCAAGCTGAGGGACAGAGACGTGGAGGTGGTGAAGCCAGAATGAAATAAGGCTGCTCTCCAGCTGCTTCAAAGAAATCACTGATTACTGGCAGTGTAAGAGCAGTACAACAGCAGAGCTCCAGCAAAGCTCTTTACATAGCATTTGCAAGTATCTGGAGCAAAGAGTTTAGCTTTCGTTTCACCCGGCTGTTCTACTTTTTACCATTGCACCTAATGAAATGAGTTCATGCTCTGTCATCCCCCTCCCCATGAAATGGTTAGGGGTGACTGAGCACACTGCAGGGGCATGTCTGGTGGTCTGCAGAGCCAACAGGCAATCACTAGCAATACCAGCAGGGTTAGTGCAGTTGGAGGAGAGGCAGCTTTAACCAAATCCAGGTTCCTGCTGGCTTTTGACTAATTTTCCAGACAGATACTTTCTTGATGAAGCAAGACAGTGCAGAGGAGCTTGGGAGGGCGTGAAACAGTCTGCATGTACCTTTGACATTAAGAAGCATGCTCAGTTAGGAGTCTGAAGATCTTGTCTGATCATTAGCAGGGTTGCTGTGTTGGGTAATGTATTGATATGGGGTTGGGTTTGTGTGGCTAGGTTTTGGTAGCAGGGTGGCTACAGAGGTGGCTTCTGTGAGAAGCTTCTAAAAGCTTCCCCTATGTCTGACAGAGCTAGTGCCAGCCAGCACCAAGACAGAATTGCTGCTGGCCCAGGCCAAGCCCACCAGAGACAGTGGCAGCACCTCTGGGATAACATATTTAAGTGGGGGAAAAAAAAACCCTGCACAACTGCAGCCAGAGAGAGGAGTGAGAACGTGTGAGAGAAACAGCTCTGCGGACACCCAGGGCAGGGAAGAAGGAGGCAGAGGAGATGCTCCAGGTGCTGGAGCAGAGATTTCCCTGCAGCCCGTGGTGAAGACCATGGTGAAGCAGGCTGACCCCTGAGGCTCATGGAGGTTAACAGTGGAGCAGATATCCACCTGCAGCCTGTGGAGGACCCTGTGCTGGAGCAGGGGGATGGCTGAAGGAGGCTGTAACCTTGTGCGAAGCCCATGCTGGAGCAGGCTCCTCATAGGACCTGTAGAACCATGGAGAGAGAGGAGGCCACTCTGGAGCAGGTTTGCTGGTAGCACTTGTGACCCTGTGGGGACCCATGCTGGAGGTGTTTGTGGAAGAACTGAAACCCAAGAGAAAGACTCACAGTGGAGAAATTTGTGGAGAACTGTCTTCCATGGGAGAAACCTCATGCTGGAGTAGGGTAAGACTGTGAAGAGACCTTCCCCCGAGGAGGAAGGAATGGCAGCAACAATGTGTGATGAACTTACCACAACCCTCATTCCCTGTCCCCCTGCCCCACTCAGAGGGAGGAGGCAGAGAAAACTGGGAGTCAAGTTAAGCCCAAGAGG